GTTAGTCCTATTTGGAAGGTAAAGTGGCCAAGCAATCCTACAAGGGCCAAAAAGGTTTGCGCAACTATTCAACTGGAACTGGTACATACTAATGTATGTGGACCAATTAAAGTTCAGACCAGAAGAGGTGATGAGTACTTCATTATATGAATGTTTACTCTGGATTTGGACAGATGAACCAAGTGCGCCATAAGTCTAAAGCTTTTGGAAATTCCAAGAGGTTTATTCTGAGGCAGAAAAGCATGTAGGTGTTCAAATCAAAAACACTTTGGTCTGACTAAAGTGTTGGCTACCTGTCTGGTAAGTTCAGGTCTTACCTGATTTAAGAGGGGATAGTTTTTGTAACTGTCAACTCTAAGAACGCGTTAGTTGAATGAAGTTGCAGTATGCAAAAATTAAACATTTCTAGACTTGGTGCAGATCATGTTCAGCTATTCATTTTTGTCAATGTTGTTCAAGGGAGATGCCTAAGAGAAGGAAATGTACCTTCTTAACTTGATTCCGTCAAAGTTTGTTGTAAAGACACCTAAAGAATTATGGAAAGGGTGCAAGCCCAGATCAAACCATATTCGGATTTAGGGTGCTACGGCACACGTCCTACAACAACAGTCAAATGAGATGGAATCTTGTATGGAAGAGTGCATATCTTTTGGCTACCCTAAGAGAACTAGGGATGATTTCTTATTTAGTCTTAAGGACAAGATAATCTAAGTGAGCACTCACATGATTTTCTTAAAGGAGGACTAGATAAGAAATTATAAGCTCTTAAGTTAGGTTATTCTTGATGAGATTTATCTCAGATCAAGAATTTCTAGAATCTCTAGAAGCTTCATCCACTGTTCCCTTCATTGTTCAAGAGGGGATAAATATATCTCTAAGTGAACAAACAAGAGAACCATGATTGGAAATTCAACATGATAATATATAAGTGAAACTAGTAGAAATATTAGTATCACATGTAAAGGAACAATATCAAGGATAAGCGGATCCTCAAGAAATTGAAGATCCATCATTTGACCCACTCTTTGTTTTACCTATAAATACACAAGGTCTAGTGCAGTACATTCATAGTGGGAGAGAACCTTGTTAACTCTCAAGTTGTTTCTTGTTGAGTGACATTGATCCTACTAGTTACGATAATGCACTAGAAGATGTTGTTGATCAAGTGTTGCTCAGGCTATGAACAATGAGATGAAATACTTGTATTTTAACTCCGTTCGGTCCTAGTAAAGACACCAAGAGGGGTAAAACCCACAAGGTGCATGTGGACATAAAAGGCAAAGAGAGGATGGACAGAAAGGTGAAAACCTTCAAAGCTAGCTTGGAGGCAATTTTTGCCAGACGCCATGCTTGAGTCTATCCAGATTCTCTTAGTTGCTATAAGTCTCAATTATGAGATTTCATTTTGGGAGTTGGATGTCAGGATATCTACATACAACAACCAAAAGGGTTTATAGCAAATGAGTAGGAACACACGGTATGCAATTTGTGAAAGTCTATTTCATAGACTTAAGCAAGCATCCAGGTCTTGAAACATCAGTTTTGATCAGGTTATCAAAATTTTGATTTTGAGAGAACCTTGATGAATGATGTGTATTTGTATGTAACGGATACAACAGAAGACAATAGCTTTTCTGGTACTTTATGTAGATGATATACTCCTTATTAGAAACAATGTGGAGGTAATATCAAGCATAAAGAGTTGGCTAAGTTAGTGTTTTGGTATGGAAGTACTGGGGAAGCCAATTATATTCTTGGTATAAAACTCTTATGAGGCCGGAAGAATAAGTTGTTGGCATCACCTCAGGCTACTTACATTGACAAAACCCAAAATTTAACATGAGAATTCTAAGAGAAGAATTATAATTCTCAGATGTGGAATTCATCTTCCTAAGGAGTGACCAAAGACTTCTAAGAAGGAAGAATGCATGAGCAAGATATCTTATGCTTTGGCAAAGGTAGACTCACACATATCATGTTGGGTGTTAAACCAGACATCTGTCACGTAGTGGGAGTAGTGAGATAGTACCATTTTGAACCTAGAGGAATACTAGATTATTGTTAAGCATGTACTCAAGTATCTTTGGAGAACGAGAGATTATATGCTGGTATATTCTAGTGGGAGTCTTGAAAAGCTGAGTTTTAAAAAATTCAGTTATTTCAAGTGGATATTGACTCAAGAAAATCAACCTCGAGCTATGAGTTTTTCACTAAACTCAGATAGCATTAGAGGTGGATCTTGCAGACCCAGTTACTAAGAGTTTGCCTGAACTTGTGTTCGAGAGGCATGTTACTTCTTTGGGTCTTAGGAGGATCCCAGACTTGCATTAAGCAAGTGAGAGTTATTGGTTTCATTGTGCTATTGGAGTAAAACGATGAAACAATAAATAATTTTCTGAATTTCATAAATAAGGTTTTATTTATTTATTTTGCGCACTATTTACAAACATAAAGGTCCAGATCAAATTGTGGAGTATATGAACATATGGATACGTTCATGGAGGACATGATCATAGGATCTCACAATTGATGAATGGAGTCACAGCCGTTAAATAAAGTTGGGCACTTTATTCAGGCTGCAATATTTTATGAAATGATTTTGTCCGAATCATTGTAAAATATTGGTGTGAATTAACATTCACATTGAAAGGATCAAGGAGAGATTTGATTAAGGTTGTTTTTCTGTCATAAGGTATCAAATCTCCAGTTAACTATAGTTATGGGATTGCTCTTAATCCTGAGTTTATTATAAATAGGTAATCAAATAGTTTTCATTCTTTGATTTACCAACGGGTGAGGTTCGATCTATTGACGACCAATAACTCGGTATTTTGGGAGTGAGATTATTTGATTATCGGTATTTATGAGATAAACAACATGGAATTCGTAGGATATGTCCCCTTGATATGTTTCGGTACTTGGATATTAAAGACACTGGCCAGTGCATGTAATCCATTAGAGAAACTATCATAGTCAAGGGAATAAATAATTGATTGAGTTACAGAAAACTTGTCAATCAATTATAGACATTCTACAAAGGGGCGATGCATATTCATGTTATAAGTGTTGTTAATCTTGGAGTTCAAGTTCGGGCTTTTAGTGGAGTAGCACCGAATTAGATAATCATTCGTTGATTATCAGGAGCCTTGATTAATAACAGATGGTAGATCCCCAAGCTAGCTTGAGACAAGGGATGGGGTATTTTTCGGATAGATGATGACTTATGGGTTACATGATCTTGGGTTTTACGACTCAAGTTTGTATCCAAAAGAGCAAGTGGGAGATTGTTGGGTTTGCTCTTTTACTAAAGCCCAAATGAGTTATTAGTATGAGAAGAGCCCAAGGAACCTAGAGCCCAATGAGCTAGGGTTTCTTGGAACCCATATAAATAGTACCTCTTAAGTCATCAGCCTCCAAGGTCTTTTTTGTGAGAAAGAGGCAAGCTCAGAATCTAACGAGTGCCCACACACTTCCCCTTCCTCCTCGAGAGATAGTTTGGAAGATCTGCCACAGTCCAGCTTCAAGGAGTTTGTTCGTGCTGCGGCGCTGAGGTGAGCTGTTCGTGAAGAGGAATCCTACAAGGGAAGATTCTACACGAGACCTGCGCACCGAGAGGTAATTGTGAAACAAGGATGATTCGGTAAGCATACCAATGTACTAGGTCCTAAACCGCTTCCGCATAAATCTAAGATTTTCCTTCAGAAATATCACATGGATAATCTATCTCATATTGATAAATATTGCATTTTTTAATAATCTATTTTATCTACATTGATCAATCAGCCAGGATTGAAATTGAGCCCACAAATTCTAATTTTTCTATGTCTGAAAGCCTTTTTATAATTAGAATCATAATTTTCTATAATAATTCCATGTTATTACAAAATAACTATTTCAAACCCTTTTTCAACTAGCACCTTAAAAGTTGCTAATTCCAATCTAGGAATTAAGTGTTGCTCAACCCGAAAACTATTTCTTCAAGGACACTCGACCTACAGTGTAAACTATTCCTTTATTTCTATTGTTGATAAAAATATTATGGACACATCATAAAAATCGTCCACCATATTTTAGAGAGTAGGTACTCCGATAGCATTGAAGAGTTAAAACAAATTCAATTTTGGTGTGAGACAGCCCAAATAATTATCAAGATATTTATGATCTGTATGGATTAAAGTGATTTTGGTTTTTCAGCCTTATCTCCGTATAATTAGAATACAAAGCTTTTTTGAATTAAAAGAAGCATAATGCTTGGTTCTTCTAAGTTTATGCATGTTTGCAATACTATACTGATTGGATATGGCAGGTCATAAATATTTTTGAGGAATAGTGAAATTCATCCTTGATGTGAGGTTTGTAACTGAATCACCTTAAGAGAGAGTACCCTGCTACCATGTCCTTGATCACATTGGGCATACAACTGTGAGCAGTAATTTTGTGCAAGTCTTCACATTTCTTACTTATTAGAGAATAGTATAAATCATTAAAAAATCTCTCATCCATAGCTTAATTTTTTGTGTTGAATTAGTTCTTTACATGATATCAGAATCTCGGTGTTCGATTCTCACCGCCCTCAGTCAATTAATAATTAATTAAGTCTTATGATGTTTCTTAGCACAGTGCATTGTCCCCGCTTTAAACCCAATGGGTTCTCGTGTGAGGGGACGTGTTAGAGAATAGTATAAACCATTTAAAAGACCCTCACCCACCAACTTAAGCTTTTAGATTGAATTGGTTCTTTACACCTACTATTTCATTAGAAGATTCTGTGACCTATAAAAGTGAATAATGAGGATCTCCTTAACCATACACATGGCTAATTTCAGCGCATTCATGCACTAAAATGTGTGTAAAATCAAAGGCGTAGATAGAATCTGAACTCACTTATCTTTTATTATTTAAGCATACAGAAGGAGAGCAAAAAAGTAGAAAAGCAAGGAGAAAAGGAGAAATAAACATCCTCTTATGATCTCTACATAATGTACAAAGATCATAGCATACTACATAAAACCCAACAAAAGCAGCAAGAAAGATGAAAACTGCAAAAACAGATATGCAGAAAAGTTACTCAAACGGTTAGCATGAGAGGGAGAAGGAGAAGGAGCCGAGCTTGTAGTATTTGTTGCCTTTTCCAGTGAGCAAGCATAACTGCAGCGACTTGGAGGAACAACTCGGTAAACACCAGTGCTTGCAAGGATATAAATATCTTTCTTGTTGTCTTCACCAAATGAAAAGATGTAGCCTAAAGCTGGAAGGGAGCTTCCAGGTATGGTGTCACATTTTACAGGAGAATCATGTGCACAACTGAAGGGAATTCTGCTAGTGCTGAAATTCCCACTATTTTCTGGTTCTTCAGTGGCTGCCCATATTGCACCCGCATATAGATCTCCATACAAGTACCTGAAACTCAGTGGTTAAGAATAAGTAACATAACAGCGGATATACTATTGCATAGCATATATAGGAATTATTATTTCTTCTTATAGAGTCTAAGTATCCACATCATGATGGGGATGTTTAGTGCAAAAGTTTAAATAAAATATTTTGTTCCATTCTCAATCAAACTGTAAAAAGCTTGTTTACCTTCCATATGTGCAAGGATCAGTGTTAGACCGATAGATATATCCTCCAGTGATGGATGCTGATCCTTCATTCTTGTTTACTTCAGAATGGTTGTATCCCAGTATTGGGAAAATTGGTTTTATGGAGTTTAGGGAAGTATTGCCTCCAGGTGATTGTGTAGGTTTGAATAAATAGGGGCCCTCATAAACACGCCAGCCGTAGTTTCCACCCTTTGTGATGAGATCCACTTCCTCGTAAAGATCCTGCAAATCAATTGTGTAACTGAGAATGTTGTACTAAACTCTCACAAAGTTATGATAACACCTTATAAGAAGCATAGATTGTTAATAATAGAGTAGAAGTTAAGTCCTAAGTTTTAGTTTTTATACTTACGCTTTCTTAAATGTTCTTCCTCTTGAAGCACAACTAAACCTTCAACTTATCTTGGGATTTTAACAGTAATGTAATTATATTACATAAATGTGTCAATACCTTCAATTTATGTTAGAATGTTAACAATGCTGCAATCACATTACAGATTTGTCTATTGATGACGAACCTTTTTTACAGTGCTGTGCTAGGTAAGATTACAGTATATTATGAGTCAAACTGGTGTTTGTTAATTGTATTTTTACTATTTCAAGAATCAAGACGATCAATGAATCAAAATTTAAAGATTTTTTTGTTTTTTTTTTCAAGTACGTCTAATAAGGAAAATGGAAACTGTGTGACTCAAGAAGAAACACTTGGGTCTCTTTGCAAGCCGTATGCACTAATGTTAATTGTATAACATTTGTGTATAGATTGTACACCATCAAATTGTTTTAGGCTTAGTATTCACAAACCTGTCCTACATCTGCACACACAAAGTAGGAAGGTCTTTTTGCATCAAAACTGCATCGCCAAGGATTTCTTAGTCCCAAGGCCCATATTTCAGGCTGCAGATCTTTATCTTCACTGAATGGATTGTCTTTTGGAATGGAATAGTTACCCCAAAGCTGAAGTTTGCTAATATCTGCTGCACCTGAAGATTCAAGATAGATGTCAATGCCACTAGTAAGAAAAAAAATGTACACACAGAATATATATATATATATACACACACACATAAATTCTGAGTATTACTCACTTGGGATGTTGTCTATATCAAGCCTCATAATCTTTCCAAGCAAGGATTTCTTGTTTTGTGCAAAATTGTATGGATCACCTGAACCTCCTCCATCTCCCATCATGAAGTATAAATACCCATCATCAGGTCCAAAAAGTATCTGACCTCCATGTTGAGAGATAAATGGGAGGCCCATGGTGAATATCCTTCTCACTTCAGTTGGTTTAGCACTTTCTGCCTGCAAAAACATTAATAACTCAATTGTATTTCATTGAATTAAACTCATTATAGTAACTACTTTTCTATGTGTGTAGAGGTGTGTACCGAGGAAGGCTGAGATGCGGTGCCATTAGCAGTATATTCTACAATAACAGTTTGATATTGGCATGGTTGGGCACCATTAGTAGTACCTATCTTTGATGGATCACAATTAACATCTGAATTACATGAACATCTTCCAGTACATCCTGACCACTTGGATTTATCACAGTTAAATGAAGCAAAGAATCGACCATTGTTTGCAAAATTTGGATGAAATGCCATGCCCATCATTCCAAACTGAGTATCAAAATAAACTTGATCAGTTAGATCAACAAAGGGACTTGATTCATCAAATTCCAATGTTCCTCCTGATCCCTCATCCGGAAGTGTTGCCAGCCAAACCTTCCCCATTTGATTAGAGAAGAATGCGCGGTTAGAGCCATCAGGATGAGCCACCATATTGAGATATGATCCATTACCAATTTTCTCAAGGCACAAGCCATGAGGGGGGATAATAGGAGTCACAGTTTTATTTAGAGAAACAGGTACCCCTTCAAAGCATACTGATGAATTATCAGATGCTCCACCAAATGCAGTGCAAAAATCAGTTCTGGACTGCCATAATTCAGTCAGTTTGGTAGCATTGGCATGAACTGGTACTCCTGCTTGACCTTGTAATGAAGGGGCAAATGGAGAATTTACTATGGATACAGTTTGACATGTGTCCCATACTTGAGAGCAGAAATCCCCCACTGCTGCCTTTGACTGGGAAGAATTTGCTGGTATGCTGGAATTGCAAAGCACAGGAACTGATCTGGGTGAGGATTGAACTGTAAATATCTCTGCTGAAAATGGGTCACACCTCTACAAACAAAGGTAGCTAAGAAATGAATCCATGGCAGAAGTTCTATTGAATAGATAAGTGTAACAGTGGTTACTAATAGAGAGGTCAACATATTGAAACCTCACTACACATTGGTCACTTTACATGACATTGAAATTCCTCTTCCTATTCAATATTCCCCGCTTCAAGAAAATTATATTTTGCATACATGAAAAATTTATTACAAAGAAGTTTGGACTTTGAAGCCTCTACAGTGCACTTCCCCATCTATGAGAAATTGATAAGGCTCTTGAGCCTCCTCAAATATGAATATATGAACCAGATATTTATGATGTAAAGAAGAGATCAAACTTAGTTATTATTCATTAGTTGCTACTTGATTCCACATCTCAAACATGATGAACTTATTGGTATACGTATACCCCAATTGAAGGGGGCAAAGAATAAACATATTTTTCTGATGCTTTTGGGAAAAAAAAGAATCTTACCGCACAAAGTACTGATTTCAATAGAGAGGCACAGCCAAGATCAGATATGTTCATCATTCGGAACTGGTTCTCTATTTGTGCATCTTCTGTGGAGTTGCAACACGTGCTTCCATTGTAAGGACAAAATCCGAGTGTCGTATTCAGGGTAAACGGTGCCCCTACACCAACAAATAAACGAGGAAAAAAATAAAACAAAACAAATTGGGAATTGAGCTTGCTCCACAAAATGTAAGGGGCTCTGAAATCTATAGACAAAAACTTAGTGGATAATACACAAAATAATATGAAAAAAACCAAAAAAAGAAGAGAAAAACTCACTCGAATCAACGCATAGAGGAAGTGAAATTGAAGAATCCAAAAGCAGCAGGAAGCAACAAAACAAGAAGCTGATGGAAAGAACAACACCCTTCATCTCACAAGACCAGTTGAAAGCCCACTACACCTATATCATCTCTACTTCAATATAATAACACCATCCAAAAACACAAGATTGACTTGATGGAAAAAATAGTAGAATTTATTTGAAAACAGCTTTCTTGAATGTTTAACTTTCAGCCTGTTCTTCTAGAAACTCCATTTTCTCACAATTTTCATTTTTCTAATACTAGTTGTAGACACCCAATCACTTTCTATCTTTTTCAACCATTTCATTTTATATCCACTCTTTGTCTTCTTCAACTATTTAAGTAAACCATCCCATAGTTTTCATTCAAATCTCTCAATAAAGAAAAGAAACTCCCTCAACCACCAAAGTAGAAGTCCTTTTCAGTTCCACCACCCTTGGCCATATTCACAAGCCATAGTTTCACGTGTTGAAGAGAAGAGAAGCATCAAGTGGTAGTAAGTAGTACATGTTGTCTCCACTCTGCAGTTGACTTTTTCATCATTCTCTTAATTAAGTATTGGATGTGGTTTAGGATCATAAAAGAAAGGGTTTTATCTTTATCATTTAACATGATATAACTTCACTTTCTTACACGTGCATTAAAGAGGTAGGGTCCACATTTTTTTTTTTTTTCATCATTTCACTTTCTCTCTCTTTTGATGTGAGAGTTGAAAACAACACTTACATTATGTTACATAACACTAATAAAATCCTAAAAGAAACCCTACACATGGTAAACCAAGTTGGGCATGTCTCAGAGGTGGTTTGTTTAATCTTTTAGAAAAAGTAATTTTTATCACTTCCTTATTTTAAAAGTACTTTTTATAAAATTATTTATATTTTTATAAAAATATTTAGATTTTGTAAAAAATATTTGGCTTTAGACTTCTGATTTTCTTAGAAGTTAAAATTTTTAGCTTCTGAAAAAAATAAATTTTTAACTTTTTTTGTGACTTCTCCTTTTTTTAAAAGAAGACATCCAAACGAACTAAAAATGAGAAATATTTTTTTCCATAAAAAAAGAGTAACTTTTGAAAAAAAAAAATCTCATCCAAACGTATTCACTTTTTCTGTGTTCTAACTTCATAGCCGCATTTATTGTACTGTATGGGGCAGAACCCATGTCAAAAAAAGTAGCAAAAAAGCATCTTTCCTTGTTCATATGGGGTTTAACCACTTGGGATTAGCAGTGACCAAATAATTGATAAAAATAACAAAAGAGGAAAGAGAAAGAATGAAACATTCAACGGTGACCATTCCACGATAAGTGAATGATAATGGAAGAAACAAAGATCTGAAGATCTGAAGAGTGACAGGTAAGTTAAATCGAAATATGGATAAAGTACAGAGGTGACACCACATGCGCATTATTGATGTCACACAAGACAATGTCCTCTCCGGGTTAAGAATAATAATAGATATTATTAGTGTTTGGTGAAATGTAGCCATTTTTAGGAATGACACATGTTGATGAATCACCGAATATTTTTCATTTATATCGGGATATTCTTATATTTCAATATATATTTAAATAATTTTAAGAAAAAAATATTTGTAATTTAAATGAAATGACCGTATTTTAAAATATATTTATTGATTTTGATGTTTCGCTTAAAATAACACAAATATTCTTCCAATATATTATTCAGAAAAATATTTCTGCAGTTACTGCATATAAGTTATCTGTATTTATTTTCAAAATGACGTCGTTTTGATATTAAAAAATTTAAAAAATATAATTATAAAGACTATAATAATCTTAAAATAAATTAAAATTACAAAAACATCATGATTTCCATTCTAAAACGACGTCATATTGAACTTACTGCAGGTAACTTATCTGCGGTAACTGCAGAAAAAGCGAACTCTACATTGTTATTTACTTTTAAAAAAATCAATTAAAGTAGATATTTCAAAAGAGAGTAGCATAAATAATTATATCGATTTTAAATAAATGTGTCGTAGTCTAATTTGATAAACAGAAATGGATCAATTGTTTTTTCCGTCCTTGTTTTAGTGACTTAATTTGTCCCACAACTCTATTTATTAAATTCAAGATATTCACCTTTAATAATTATAATCAATCGTTGTATTTGACAAAAGTGAGATTAAAAATACGACAAAAACCTATTCTGACTTACACTAATATGTTTTTCTTCATTTATTTCCTTATAATTTAGTTTTTACTGAAATATTTTTTGCTTAAATGTTGTCTTTATATGATCAAAGTATACCTAAAATTCATTCTCGAAGACTAAAATTTTAATTGATGAAGATTTAAAAATTGATTTCTCAATGACTATATTTGAATGCTTATGTTTAATGATGGAATGAAAAGGACTTTTGTCAAAATTTATAGCCTCATTAAAAAAGTTATTCTTTAGGATATGATTAACTTATATTCATATAAAATAATAAATTTTACAAATATTCAAAAAAAATAAAATAATAAATCTTACATCATATCTATTTTATGATTGATTTGCTTACATCTAATTATTCAAGTATTAATAAATTAAAATATTTAGATATAAATAAAATAACTGCTAAAATTAAGAATATAATGATATCCCTTGTTCTTTTCTCTTGTACTCGTCTCGAAAACAATTGTCGCTGCTCATCAACTAGTGTGTTAGTTTTTAAGGATTGATGACGTTGATATTTGGCCGGAGACTTTACCGCCTTTCAAGTTTCATCCAATCCAATGTTATCAAACTTGAGTCGGAGATTGATTTAGTAGGGGGTACTGAGTGAATGAGTAACTAATTTAATTATTAGGTTATTGATTCTATTGATTGAATTAAATATATATAATAAATATAAAATTAGAAGTATTTTAGTTAATAACTAGAGTTGAATTTGTGATAAGTGCAATAAATTATTATCCACATAATTTAGGCTTTTTTACCCTTATAACCCTTTATTATTAATTAATTACCGATTTGACCTTGATTATAAACTATTTCAAAAATTTAACCCCCTCAAAAAACATAACACCAATCTGCCCCTGTTTGACCGTTGACCACCAAGCCTACCCGGGTACACCCCTCTGTACCCGGGTATTTTTTGGAAATTTTTGTCTACCCGGGTAGGGAGGCGTGTACCCGGGTATTGTTCTTCGCACCTGAGAAATTGCTTGAATTATTTACCCGGGTAGAGAGGGGTGTACCCGGGTAAATCTTCAACCACCCGGTATGATTACTCTTTGGATCTCCCATGCACTCTTCTTCTCCAAGCTTTGAATATGGAGGCACCAACTATCACGTGCTCTGCCTCTGCAACTTTTTTGGGTCTGTAAAGCACACAAATATTTTTCAATGATAATTTCAGAAAGAGAATTCTCAGTTAACAGTATAAATCCACAACCACAAACCTTGTCCCATGCATGTCTTCCCTGAACGTGATAATTCGTCATTTACCAGTAAAATGAAAAGTTGCATGCTCACACTAAATTTCTGTACCATGAACCCTGTCTTTATTTTCTTTCCGTCTCACTCTCCCCAATAGACCCGGTACCACATTTATATATAGGAGCGCGATTTTGACGTACATAAAAGTAGACCCCATCATAATCGATACGAACAGGGACCGCTTTGATGAGCAGTAAAGTGTTGATGTATGGAAATTCCAAATCCATTCTCAAAGCTAAAAGCTCTTCAAATTGGTTAGGCATAACTTGATAATACTGATCTATCTCATTAGCTGTAAAAAAGAGAAAAAAAATACCAAATGGGTGGTCGAAGATTTACCCGGGTACACCCCTCTCTACCCGGGTAAATAATTCAAGCAATTTTTCAGGTACGAAGAACAATACCCGGGTACACGCCTCCCTACCCGGGTAGACAAAAAATTTCAAAAAATACCCGGGTACAGAGGGGTGTACCCGGGTAGGCTTGGTGGTCAACGGTCAAACAGGGGCAGATTGATGTTATGTTTTCTGAGGGGGTTAAATTTTTGAAATAGTTTATAATCAAGGTCAAATCGGTAATTAATTAATAATAAAAGGTTATAAGGGTCAAAAAGCCACATAATTTAGGTTCGAATCTCATTACTGTAATTTTTCAAATATTTTGTCCAAAATTTCGCAAAATCAGTTTTTTTTTTTTTAAATGGTGCCCATTTAATATTGATTGAATCGAGTTCTAGATAGGTTCACCAGTTTCATACCGGACCAAATGCATAGTTGATCTAATACTTAAACTGAGCTGGTTGGGGGATCAGTTCATGGATCAACGGGTCGAATCGGCCGGGTCGGATCAATTTTTATAACTAGTTTCATCTATATAATCTTTTATAATTTTTTTCTAATTAATGATTTAATATTTCACGTTGAATAATCTCTTCCACTAGTGTTGAAGCAATGAACAGTGAACCAATATTTCACTAGTTTAATAATGGAAAATGTGTTTCTCATGTTGCATGAGATAATTTATCTCATTCAGTACACACAAAAATGGAAGAGACTCACTTTTCTTTTTCTCTCTCCTTCTTAGTAGTTCTATCTTCTTTTTTGTGTGTTGTATGAGACAAATTATCCCATGCAACAAGAGAAAAATCAAACCCTTTAATAATAGGTCTGTGTCGACAATGTCTTTGATGCCATGACTTTGATATGCTAAGTGGTGGCTTCACATGTTGATATGAAAATTTCTCTTCCTTCCTTTGCTTAAGTTAGGTCCAATGGTATCTCCAAAATATTTTCCCAAAATATTTTAGGATCCAGAATTTGCATTAAAAACTCACGATCACGAAGAAGCAGAAAGTGTACAATGCATTTAATAATAATAATAATAAAGTTCAATGCATCACATTCTCCCAAACAATATTAGTGGGATTTTAGTTCACACCATAAAATTGAAGGTAAGAAAGAGGAACAAAAGAAGAAAATCAAAACCTTCACGCAAGGGGAAGGGAAAAGAAGAACGAGGCATATTATTTTGTAGACCAACAACTTTTTCCTTAGTGCACAAATAATTGCAACGGCTTGGTCGTGCCACTCTGTAAACACCAGTGCTAGTCAAATAATAAATGTCCTTCTTGTTATCTTCTGCTAATGAGTAAACGTACCCCATTGTAGGACTAGCACTTCCCTCCACAAAAGAACATGGCATTGGAGAGTCATGAGCACACCTAGAAGAAATCTTAGCATTGGTGAAGTTTCCACTGTTTTCAGGACTTTCTGTACCAACAAGCACATATCCTGCATACAAATCTGTGTACAAGTACCTGAAATATCAACAACTAATATGTCATTTTAAATTTGAATAATAGGTTTAGAGACAACTTCTAAATAAAGCCACATTAATATATATAGAGGGAAAGTGGCAAATAAACCTTCCATATATGCAAGGATCAGTCGTGGAACGGTAAAAATAGCCACCAACTATGGATGCAGAACCTGTTTTCTTATCAATCTCAGAATGACTGTAACCCAGTATAGGGAAGATTGGGTGTATGGAACTGGCTGAAGTATTTCCTCTAGGTGACTCTGATGGATGAAAAAGAAAAGGACCCTCATAGACTCTCCAACCATAGTTTTTACCCTTTTTAACCACATCAATCTCTTCGTATTCATCCTATAAAGAATACTTTAGTAGGCTGATAAAGATAATAACAAAGCAAGAACAATATATTTGTCAATAAAACCATTAATGTAACGTCACCCAACAGTTTAAACTTTTGGGTTGAATTGGTTCTTTATATAGTATCAGAGTTTTGCTGTGACGGGTTCTTTACATGTGCATGATTCACCCTTCAAGTCCAGTGAACTCTTGTGTGAGGGGGGCGTGTAAGAGAAGTATAAAATCATTATTGTAACTTCACCCAACAATTAAACTTTTGGGTTGAATTGATTCTTTACCATACTAAAATAAAATAAAATAATTGCATGCCAACCCAAGATATTAAATTGGATCATTGAATATGGACCCCTAAAAAAAATAAAGTTGGATCACTGAACCTGTCCAGCGTCTCCACAGAGAAAATAGGATGGTCTCAGAGAGTCAAAACTACATCTCCATGGATTCTTGAAACCCATAGCCCATATCTCTGGTTCAAGCTCCTTATCATTAACATATGGATTATCTCTAGGTATAGAATAATTTCCCCACAAACCCGTGTCATTTATTTCTTTGGTACCTGCTGACAATTTCAAAATAAAGTGATCATTGTAACTTCTACATTAAAAGGTATTGTGACAGAACCTCAAAGTAGATGGTCTCCCGAGAACATAATCCACCGAAGGGAATGTAAGAAAAGTCAACTGAGGGCATTTAATTCCATGTTTGTATCAGAAAGTTCTCACATTTGTAGTCTTAATAGGAAGGGTCTTGGGGTGGGATTGTTTTAGAGAGATATGTAAAAATCACCGATGGGTCTTTACTTTTCAGCTTAAGTTTTTAGATGAAATAGTTACTTTACATAATATCATTTTTATTCTATCTTGTATTGACTTAATTCCACTAGAAAGTGAAGGGCGGTGAAGATCGAACTCGTGACCTGTAGTCACTGACCATGTAAAGCAATTTTTCACCTAAAATCTTAAACTTAGAACTGAAGACTCTGGTTTTTATATTATATCTCTCTAAGTAGTTGTGATATAGTGAAATGTTTATAAATTAGAACCGTCAAGAATATAGTTAGAGGGACTTACTAGGTAAATTGTCTACATCAATTCTCAAAATTTTTCCCAGTAAGGATCTCTTGTTTTGTGCAAGGTTGTAAGGATCATCACGACTAGATCCATCAGACAACATGAGGTACAAGTATCCATCTTCAGGTCCAAAGAGAATCTGACCAGCATGACCTCCACTATAAGGAATGGCAATTGTGAATATTCTTCTCACTTCTGATGGATTGGCACTTTTTGCCTATAAACAGAATATAGATATACCTCAGAGAAAATTATATAGTAAAAACAGTGTTTTTAAGCAAATTGAGAAAGTGGTGTCAATAAATACCATGGAAGGCATTGATGATGTGTCATTGACAGTAAATTCTGCTACTACAGTGTGATACTGGCATGGGAGGATGCCATGATCAGGACCAAGTTTTGAAGGATCACAATTCACATCTGAGTTACATGCACATCTACCAGAACATGTAGGATTTTTCATCTCATCACAATTATAAGAGACAAAGAAGCGGCCATTTTGTGAAAAGTTTGGATGAAATGCAATTCCCATTAAACCATGCCCAGAATCAAAGAGAATATCATCACTAATGTCTAGGAAGGTTTTGGATTCATCAATTTCCAAAATCTCATTGGATCCCTCAACAGGAATATTTGCCAACCAGATCTTGCCTTGCACATTAGCAAAGAAGGCACGGTCAGAACCATCAGGATGTGGAGCCATGTCAAGGTAAGACCCATCCCCAATTTTCTCCAAACACAGACCATTAGGAAGAAGGGGAGTTTGTAAATTGTTCAATGAAATTGATTCACCATGGAAGCATACTTTTCCATCTTCTGAATAGCCACCATAAGTCTCACAAAAGCTTTTCCTAGACTTCCAAACATCCCTCACTTTGGAAGTGAAGAAGACAAGGTTTTTTCCAGCTTTGTCTTGCAAGAAAGGTTCAAACGGGGAATTAATTACAGAAACACTTTCACATGTTTCCCATACTCTTGTGCAGAAATCAAGAGAACCATCACCACTGGATTGTTGTGACATCGCCAATGATGTGGTGTTGCACAACAAGGGAACAGTTCTATCGCCTGAGGCAGTTTGGAACAATTTAGCAGAAAACTGATCATCACATTTCTGCAAATTATTGATAACATCAAAATTAAGGAATTAAGAACTTTACAATGGCTTAATACAGCAAAATTTCAAACGAAGACACACGCGTAGGTGAGGAGAAAACAAATGAATATAGTCCTATGTTATCAATCAACTCAACAAGTAACAAACAACAGGAGATTATAACCATCCTCCTATATGTGACTGACCACACTACCAAGTAGCACCCAAAACGGCATCATGTGATGTCAGAGAATGATAATATAAAAACCATTAATGGAACTTATCTAAAAGCTTAAACTTTTGGGTTGAATTGATTCTTTATATAATACTAGAGCCTCTGTAAATAAGTGGTTATGAGTTCGATTCTCAGCACTGAGGGGGCGTGTTAGAGAATGATAATATAAAAATCTTTAATATAATCTCACCTAATAACTTAAGTTTTTGAATTAAATGGTTCTTTACATGTGAGTATGAAAAACCACACTTGTAGTCAGAATGCTTACAGCGCATAAAATGGACTTGAGGAGAGAAGCACATTTTGGGTGAGTGATGTTTAACTCCTGGAATTGTTTCTGTAACCTTGCTTCTTCACTAACTTCACAACAAGCCTTTCCATAGCAGGAACGGAATTTCAGAGGAGCCTCAAGTTTAGAAGAGATTCCTGCTCCATCAACAAGAACTCAACTCACAAGTGATCAATAAGTGCTGCTGGTGAATTAAATACATAGCTAGAAACAAAGAGGCAAATATCAATTAACCAATGCACATAAAGAGGCCAAGGAAGTGATGGGAGAAAGAAACAAACCACACCCACTTGAGTTGGTAAAAATGGCACAAGATGAAGAGAGGTTGATAAGATGTGATATGAAAAAGAGGAAGAGAATGTGAATCCCTTTACAACTCATGGCAACAAATTAAGCCAACAATGTTCAGAAGAAATTATAAAATGAAGGTGTAAAAAATAGTATGAAGTGAGATGAGACGAACTAATGTTTACAAGATGATGCATGGAAGACAGACACAGGAAGCAAGCATATATTTTACTTGCCACTCAGTTGTTACTCTACGTTGTCTTTATTGGAATTCTCGTTAACAGTGTTATTTATTTCATCAAACTTCTCAAACAGCATATGGAAGAAAGCATGCAAAGAAACAACTTCCACATACAAGAATTTTATATTTGAGGATCCAATTAACTTTGCTGCGACTTCTTCATTTTTAATGTAACCTAACTCCGTGTGTTGTTATTTAAAGTGGGTGCTAGTATTAGTATATACTAGCACTCAAAATTTATCCCTTAAAAACATCTTTTTAGCTATAAGAACATCTACAATTGAATTTTTAGTAATTGAATTTTTAGTAATTTAATTTTTTATTTTTTTGACTCTATAAAGAATGATAATTTTTAGTAACTTTTTTTTTTTCGTACCATTTCAATTGACAATATTATTCATATTCATTTGGTAAATGATTATTAAGCGAACTCAAAGTCAAACTTAATGGTAAATAGTACATACATTTTTACAATAAAAACAATGTTGAATCATTAAGTTCTCGCAGTTTTTAACAACAAATAAGTTTGCTTTATAGCATTTGATGGTCTATTATCTAAGTTATAATATTGAAAATATAATTAAAGTAAAGGACAATAATAACATAAGTGATATATGTTGAACAGCACATATCAAAAGAAATAACAGTAGCTAAGAATCTTTACATAATCAGCTACGGATTTGAATTGTCTGTAGTTTTGAAAAAATAGAACGCAATCTCATCCATCAAAATAATTTGTTTTACTGTAAAATATAAATTATTAATTAAGTAACAGTTGTCTTCTGGAGTGCAGATGATAACTTTTAAATCAGTTATAGGGATAGCAAACTTGGCTAAATGTGTCCCCATTGCATCATCACAAAGGCCAAAAGAAAAGAAAAGAAAAAACATTTGTGATAAGGTCATTTGTTACAATCGAGTTGGCATCGACCAAGTAGAATATGAAAGAGACAAATTCTTGAAATAATAGTTGATTCACTCCTGTCCCAAAGAATCAGGGGTTGGTAATAGCTAAATCAGTAGAGTTTCCAACAACATCTAGGTGGTTGCTATCCTACTTGGCCAAAACCAAAGGAATTTTTTTTTCTTTTCAAAGATTAGTTGATTCCTCCAACGTAAATGGGAAACAAAGTTCAAACTAGCATTCCTGCTACTGAAAAGATGGTCCATAGTGAAAGTGAGTTGTATTCTACACTGCCAATTCCACATTTTTGCTTTGATACCAACAAAGTACAACGTGATTTTCATCCCAATGTTTTCTTTACCCAATGTACTACCGTTTCACTTGGCCAATACACTGGCACAGAGCTTGGACATACATCACCCCAAGTAGTGATCTAAACAGGAAACTGCAGTGACTGCACATTGTGGATCACAGTATTTATAACATGGACACAAACCTCACATGCTACGGTAAGACAGCCATATTCTAACTGCAAATCTGGAGTTAGAAGTATGAACTTATGAAAGCATGGGATAAAATCAACTGGATCATGTATCATGCAGTAAGACTACTGCATAAACACAAAAGAGTTTTTCTCACGCGGTGACTGCAAAAAATTAATTACATGCAAATGATCTTAGTGAGGATAATCCACAACAAATTGCAGTGTGTCACAAGAATCAAAGAGAGTGAGTTACAGCCATGCACATACACACATACAAAGCGAAAGAAAAGCACAGACATTATTACCTTTAAGACACTGAACCCCAACAAGTTCATTATTCCTTCACAGTATACTACAACCTGATCTCTTCACTCCATCACAGAATATTATGAAATATGAATTCTACTGAGTACAACCTGACTATAAAAGTTTTTTGTCCGCAAAAACAAAACCAAAGCTGCAAGAGAACCCAGAACTGCGGCAGCTGCCATTATGAGAAAAGGAAACATAAAACAATGAGTTCCAATGCATGTATTTCCTTCAGATGCTTCTTTGTCATATATATACCCAACTACTCTTACAGAGAATATATAAGATCCCACTGGACCTGCAATGGTAATGGTGTTGAATATGCTGCCCAAATTTCCCACACCAAATATTTCAGAAGTGATTGTAGGCATTAAGGACCACTGAGAGCCATAACAAATACCAACCAATATTGAACCAACATATAGAGCACCTGGCAGTCCATAAGCAATGACCACATGACCAATGCTCATGATAATTAAAGTGATGACCATAAATAAAGGTCTTGCCCAACCTCTTGTGTGCAAAAAATAGTCTGAAACATAACCAGCTCCGAACCGGCCAAGGAAATTCCAAATGCTCCACAAAGACACCAAGGAACTTGTCTCATGGCTGGCATAACCAAGAGATTCCCCTATTTGGCCAATATTATTAACTGTTGCAAGTCCTGATCCCATACCACACGCCATTGAAACAAACAAAATCCAAAAGTTCACAGTTTGCACTGCTTGGAAAAGATTCAGGTTTTCTCCCAGTTGCAAAGTCCTTTGATTGTTTGTATTAGTCCTAGTATGCCTAGCATCTACCTTCTCAGTATCCAGGGGGCTTGGTTCCACAATTAGTAGGGACCCCTCATCAAGAAGATTTTCTGAAACACTACTTGAGCCCCTTTCATGTGCTTTAGATGCAATGCAAAGAAGTGAGGCTAACAACCCAATAAGCACAATGAGTACAAAAATGCGGACCAATAATTGCAGACTAAGGATGTTCTCTAGGATTATAACAACCATAAGATAAGCAGCAACAACCAGAGCCATGAAAGAAAACAAATTCAGATACTTCCTTTCTTCTCCCTCATGAGTTTTATGGATTCTCACAAACCACATAAGCAGCAAAGTATTTACAGGTGGTAAAAGTGCTAACATCAGAAGATATGACATAGGCTTGTTGTTGAATATTGTCCGATACACTTGAATTAATATTGCTCCACTGAGACCAAGAAACCCCTATGAAGACACAAGCAATTAAAGTTTCCATGCAATTGCACAACCAAAAATAAATAAATAAATAAATATATAAATAAATAAAAAAGAACCTTCATGATGCCAACTATGGTTCCGCTGTAGTTAGGGAAATTATGTACACCAGTGACAACATTGGAAGTGTTAAAATAACTCTGAGCATGAGCTGCGACGAACATGAACAGACACATGACCGGCACGGGAACCGGAGGAAGGACGCCGGCGACGGCGGCCCACATGAGGAAATAGCCCAAGAAGCATTGGGCCGAGCCCAAGAAGTGGACAAGCCAAGGCCCGGTTGTTGATGAGGTGGCAAAGAAATCGTATAAGAGACCAGCGAGGACACCAACGTTGGCTCCGATGTCCTTGGAGACAGAGACAATGTCAAGCGTTGACTGATCATAGTGTTGAGTTGACTTGAGGGTTTGAGAATAGATGGAGAAAGTGTAGAGTGATCCACTTGTGCACTGAATCCATATGCTAGCCACCGTCGATACCCACTTCGAGTTAAGGTAGAAATTCAAGTCCACATAATCCATTGAGCCACCTCAAATTCTCAGTTTCAAAAGCAGATGAACACTTGAACCTGCCTATGTTGTTTTTCTGATGTTTTACGTTCGCTCGCCATGGTGATGACACGTGGACCTTGAACACTGTTCATCAGCCACCTGTACCTGCTAGTGTTACTCCACCAGTTTCATTAAATATTTCCTCACGATACAAGCACAGATTTACATTTTTATTTAAATAAACTTTATTCTAGTAAACTTTCCGTACTTATTTAAAATTAAAAATAAAAGAATGATGAAATAAATGTAGCAAGGTATATCTTTTGTTTTTAATAAAATAAATCCCTAAACAAACTAATAAACCACAATTAAAATAAAAACACTGAATTCATTTGTGATAGCAAGGTATATCTTTTGTGGCAAGGTCATTTGTGAATTCATTAGAAAAAAAAACACTGAATTCATTAAAATAAATCCTGTAATACATACCGAAAAAACCAACATTGCTGAAGGTAGTACATTGTGTAGATACCAATACATGCATAATGAATATGGTACGAATCATTGGAGAGTTTCACTCTAAAATCTAGCTCATAGGAGAATTCCAAATCCATATAAATTGCAACTGAATGTGACACAATATCTACTAAATACACAGTAATATACAGTAAGGTTGTGTTTGGTTGGGAGTTTTTCAGCGGATATCTATCTTTCTCAAGTATGGCTTTTAAAAATACCATGTTTGTTTTAACGTTTCTTACCAAAAATTCATCTATCCAATTTGTCTGGATTTATGAGAAACATAGATATCCGCACTGTTTAGAAACCCAATTTGAAGGTGGAATTTTTCGGAAAACCGGTTATCTGGCTTTTAATACACTGTTGATTTCATAAAGTTACCTAATTTTCCCAGTAAAGTTTTTCCCCACCAAACAACTTTTTTTTACATTTTTCTACATATCTCACTTTATCTATCTTTTCAATCATTTCTCTATCTATCTCATTTCTCTACTATTCCAAAAAAAATTCCTGAATCAAACGCCCCCTAAAATACAGTCTCAAAATGCACCTAAATGCAGCATTAATATGCAATACATTTATAGCACTAAATTGTAGTACTAGTATGCACCAAAATGCAGTAAATATACAACACCAATATGCACCAAAATGTATTCCCAAATGCAACAAAATGCTTAACTAATATCATAATCATAGACTGGACCTATGGCTTATTCTTGGGGTATCATATCTAAATGACTCCCACGTGATGAAGTTGAAACTACGTAGACATGCCTCCACAACATCATATTTGTATGAGGTAATCAATACAAGGCTAACCAATATAAATAAATAAACATATATATATATATATATATATATATATATGAGTTTGCATCTATCATGTCACATGACACAAAAATTTTTTCTACACACACAACATTTTGTGGGACCCACACTTTTTGAAGCAAAAAAAAAAGAAGCTAAGGCACGCAAAACGAATCTCTATAACATTACACAATCATTTTTCCTACAACATAACTCTTATAAAATCCATATATATATATATATATATATATATATATATATATATATATATATATATGGGGCAGGATCCTTTGACACCGGTGTCAAATTTGAAGTTTGACACCTCATCTGAGAGCCGTTAGATCAAAAAAGATCAACGACTCTGATTTGTAAGCATGTGACACCATTGATCTTTTTTTATCTAACGCCTCTCAGATGAGGTGTCAAACTTTAGAATTGACACTGGTGTCAAAGGATCATATCCATATATATATATATATATATATATATATATATATATATATATATATATATATATATATATATATATATATATATGAAATTGTTTTCTTATGCTACATAAGATAAAAATATTTTTCTACACTCACATATAACGAAATGGGACTCATTTATATATTTTTTCTCTCCTATATTCTCTCTCATCTCTCCTTTACATGTGTGAGTAGGAATCTTTTGTTATCTTATGTAATATAAGAAAACAATTTTTCATATATATATAGGGATGTGATCCTTTGATACCGGTGTCAAATTTAAAATTTGACACCTCATCTGAGAGCCGTTAGATAAAAAAAGATCAATGGTGTCACATGCTTACAAATCAGAGCCGTTGATCTTTTTTTATCTAACGGCTATCAGATGAGGTGTCAAATTTAAAATTTGACACATCATCTGATATTATATATATATATGGCATGATCCTTTTGACACCAGTGTCAAATTTAAAATTTGACACCTCATCTGATAATATATATATATATATATATATATGGGAAGGATCCGTTTATAATTTTTTTTTACAAATTACACTAAGCATGACCGGTCATACACTCTTGATTAAAGTATAACCGGTCATACTCAGTGTAGTTTGTAAGAGTTTATAAATAAAAAGTTTGTAAATATAACCTTCCTCATATATATATATATATATATATATATATATATATATATATATATATGTATGAGGTAGAATCCTTTGATACTAGTGTCAAATTTGAAACTTGATACCTCGTCTAAGAGCCATTAGATCAAAAAAGATCAATGGTGTCACATGTTTACAAATCAAAGTCGTTGATCTTTTTTGATCTAACGGCTCTCAGATGAGGTGTCAAACTTCAAATTTGACACTAATATCAAAAGATCCTACTTTTATATATATTTATATATATATATATATATATATATATATGGGGAAGGATCATCTTACACCGGTGTAAGAATAATAAATCTTACACCAAATCTTAACCATTGATTTTCTACATCTAACGGTTAAGATTTATTAGGTCTCACTCATTAATTAATTTTTAATTCCCAATAAATCTCAACCATTGGATGCACGGAAATCAACGGTTAAGATTTGGTGTAAGATGTATTATTCTTACACCGGTGTAAGTTGATCCTATCCCTATATATATATATATATATATATATATCCACAAAAGCGGAACATCAGAGCCACAAGCCGACTTACGAAAAATAATTTTATGGTCCTGGACCATTGGATGGTTTTGTGCTCCCTCTCACACTCAATTTCCATTTTACCCCTAACTTTTAGTTCATTTTCCATTTTACCCCTCTTATAATATTAAGGGACTACATGGTCGAGGACCATGGCCACTTACCATTTTCAGCCACACAACTACAACAAAACAAGAAACCAAAACCCAGCAATAGTCCTTAACCCGACAAATCCACAACGTACCCATTTTCAATTATGACTATTTTTTTTAGATTGAATGATGTGAATTTAACACATAAATTAATACAAATTACCTCAATTCTTCACCACTAAACCAATCCTATCACAAAGTTGCGGTATGTAACAATAACCTTACCCCATGTCTATAATCAACAAAGACCCCATAGCCATATCTAGAATCAGTAAAACTACTAAAAATAAAAAAATTATAGTTATTGGCTTAAAGTTTGCCTATTTGCGGACAAAATTATAATGAAATACACGAATTTCCTCTTATTGTACCTTTGATCTTCTTGCGTTTTTCTCAAAATAATAATTATTTTGAGAAAATAATTGTTTATTTTTCAAAAAGACTTTTTTGACCTTAAAGCCTCCCACCCACCCAAAAAAAAAAAATCATTTTAGAAGCTTTTTCCTATTCATGTACTTTAAGTTTCGTTTGTGTTAACAGAAAAAATTGGTATTTTTAATGTTACCAAAATGTCACAGAATTTAGTGTTAGCAAAAACATTTGGCGTTACTTGTGCAGCTGTCGACATTACAGGGAAGTAAATTATTTCTCTATTACTTTCGGAAATAAATGCTTTCACGTGATATGAAATCATGTAAGAAGATCTCAATTATTCAAATATTAACAGTGACGAAATAATGCATTAAGATAAAAGATAATAATAATAATAATAATTGATTTATATCTAAATGGTTTAGATCCTTCAAAGAATATATTCCCATTATTTTCCAAGACATATTTTCACTTAATAATGTACTAAAGAAAATGTTAGTTGCAAATGAATTTTATACACATAATCTCGCTTAAGAAAATGTAGAATCAAAGGAAAAAGGAGAAAGACATAGGTAAATAGATAGTTAATGACATGAGATTAAGCAAGTTATGTGAAAATGTTTTACATGTAGGTAGCATTATTCCTGAATTAAAGTAATTCATTCAGAATGAGTGTAGAAAATGATAATTGACAAAACAAATATGAATACATGTGTATTTTAGTTTAAATTTTAGATTTTTTGAAATAAATCTCATAAAATTCATTTTAAATTTAGAAGCACGTTGCACATAATAAAAATATCAACTAGCTTACCCAAAAAAAAAATATCAACTAAAACATTCCGCTTGCATTGACAGGCTACTAAGTAAAATTCATTTTGAAAACAAACATAACACGTAAATTAAGGCTTAACAAACTTCAGAACAGCAGGCCGAAAGGGTTACCAATAGTTGAAGCTAGCAGCTTTTTAAGGTAGAACCTCTCATTCCAAGGGCAACGGCATCAACCAAATGGGAAGGTAAACTTCAACAGAGATACCTATATTTCTCTTACACTTGCAGCAAAAGAATATATGAAATACAGCGCACATTCATCATAATGATGCATGGCTTATTACTAAAAAAAATCACTAAAATCACTTTTCATTCAACTCCTATGGAATGATAATAATTCTTGTATACAACCTTACCCTTGTATATTTGTAAAGAGATTGTTTTTCGAATTTAAAACCATGACCTTTTAGTCCCAAAGAATCCACTTTACCACTGCTCTAAACTCAACACTCTTTTTATGCATGGCTTATTTAAAAAAAATTCTTCCAAACTAATTTACTCTACTATACAAGCCCAAACTGAAACTATCCAAAACCAATTTCTTTGTAATAATATATACATTTCAAGGTATACTCAAATACGTAAAGCTTGCAGCTTGAGATTTGCTCTTTTGACAACCTCCCAAAGTTTAGTAACCATAAATTGTAAGGAATGCTTATCATGACATTGTGCCTCCTTGTTACACTCCACTTCTCAAAAACTTCACCACACACAGACTAGCAGCATACTGCAACCACAAAAAGCCTTTTCAAATGATTTTAATTGTACTAGTTCTTAACTTTATAAGTGACTGATGCTTCTGCGAGAATATTTTAACAATGTAAAGTGGCAGAATTTCTCCTATCTATAATCAAGGAAGCAAGTTATCTCAAATGCTAACAAGCAAATAACTCATCCAGAAGCGAATGAGAACAAATAATAATAAATAAGTAAACAGCATAATCTCATTCAAATTGTGATATGTGCAACAAGAATTTAGACAAAGAGAGCAAAAGATCTTCAATCAGATGCAGGTTCACCTCCTCTGTCTGCCTTCGATATCCCAGAAGCATCCTAACTAACTCACCATCCCTTTGGGAAATGCGCATCTGGGTGGTGAGATTCATCCCCCATCGACCTATGATGTTCCTTCCTCTCTATTGTGCTTCAAAGGCTACTGATGTGACCAATTAGAAGTTAGAACCCAACATACTCTTTGACCACTTCCCTCGCAGCACCCATCAGCCCTGCTTCCTAAGCCATTGGCCTTCTTGCCACCAAGCCCAACACCCTTGCAACATTCATTGATGCCTCTGCTCCACCCACCACCAGTTTCCAGTGATTCATCCCAACCAACACCATCTCGTCTCACGTTTGTTGGTCTAAGCAAGTAATCAGAGCTCAATTCTTCTTTCAACCTAGACCTGGACACTCGCACATCTTCTCCTCCCCTGCATGGATGCAGCGCCTTGGGACAGAGACCACGTTAGGAACCCACAAATTGGAACAGAGAAATCATACAAAAGAAAGAAAAAGAATAAATCTTTACTGATGATTGAATAATAATCGGGAAAGGCAAGTGTTATGACCCATTTGCAAGGTATGGGACTTGAAGTCTCACATTGGTTATATGGGCAACTAATGTAGGGTTTATAAGGCCTTAGGTACTCCCACCCTTTGAGCTAGTTTTTGGGGTGGTGCATCCTAAGGTTCTTATCAAATGGTATTAGAGCCTTCCACTATGTCTCCCGGTTGCAATCGAGCGGCGCGGGTGGTGACGCCGGCATTGCAGTGTTCACTCGGAGCTAGTAAAAGAGTCTTGGGGGTACAAATCGAATGGCGCAGGTGGTGACGCCGGCACTGCAATGTTCGCCCGAGGCTAATAAAAGACTAGCGCAGAGCCAGCACGCGGGGGGACCGAGGCTGCGGTGCATAGTGGAATGTTAGGACTCATTTCCAAGGTATAGAACTTGAAGTCCCACATTAGTTGTATAGGCAACTAATGTGGGGTTTATAAGGCCTTGAGCACTCCCACTCTTTGAGCTAACTTTTGGGGCGGTGCATCCCAAGGTTCTTATCAGAGAGAGATCTCCTCCCTCCCCTTACAATTAAGTCACTAGTTTGTTTTCTCAATGCTAACAACTCTCCTTCACTTCCTTCTACCCCTCTTCCTATTTAAGCTAAAACATTGTCCTTCCAACATCTTTAACTAACTATTGATACCCAACTGTAACTACTTGTAACTGAATATTGATATTTGGGAATCTCAAACAGACCATTTCCAACCTTGATGCATGACCTGTTGTCTGGGTGGTTTGATCTGCTCCAACAGTTCTCCACCTCCACTGCCATTTTCATCACCCATCTCAATCTTTTCCTCCACAATTGCCCCCACCATTCCACCAGTGTTGCAAACACATCGTCCTCCTTTCCAACAGGCCTGCTGTATGTGAACCCAGTTACTCGGGTTGAATAACCATACGATCGACCCTCCTCCAATTTCTGAACCATTGCCTATAACAAATAAATGTCCCCTGAACTGATCATCCCCAACTAAGCTTTTCACCTCATCCTTCAGTCCATCTATTAACGCACCACATATGAAATCCTCATCAGCATTATGGAGCTGAGCTGAAAGGAGAGCTTGAATTGCTTGCGATACTCCATGACTGACCCCTCTGATGCAATACCATTAGCATTAGCACCTGACCTAAGCCACCAATTCACCCCAAAATTCTGTTATGCTCCTTCACAATTTCCCACCCCCTCCTTATTCATGTTTCCCTTCCTGTCCCATCATTGCACAATTCTCCTCTCCAATACCTTGCTGCCATGTGTACATTGTGTTACACTCTGCCACTATTGTTTCCTCCTTACTTCAAGCAGTTTTCCTAATTCTCCTCTCATGAACACGTATAATTTCCCCTTGCCCAACACTCTCCAGTCCACTCTCCTTTTTTCTTCTCTTATACACACGTCAAAGACCCATCACCCATGAATGGGGAAGTAAAGAAAGAGAAAAAAAAAATGTAGCCAAGGGAGAAGTGAGAATATATGCTCATAATCAAATACAATGGTGACAGATGATAACTGAAAGAACAGTGGACTACATATCTTTTCTTATTCTGTGCACACAGAACAGAACAAGTAAAATGCATAACTTCAATCAGCCTTTTGGATAACCTCTATATTTATGCCTAACAGAACAGAAAGAAAAAAAAACAAGACTGGTTTCCTTAGACATTCATTACCTTGTGCTGAAATGCTGGCAAATACATTCTTCATCATCGTGCATAATGTTTTAATCTTCTAATCACAACTTGCTTATAGAACCTTTGGGTCCGGAAGAATAATGCCAGACCAAACAAAAATGCAAGAAAAGCCACACCTGCCAGGATCAGAAACGATGACATGAAACAGTGGACGCCAATGCATGAGTTATCTTCTTCACTAGCTTCCTTGTCATAAATATATCCAACAACTCTCACAGAAAGTATATAAGATCCAAGTGGACTCGATGCAGCAATAGTGTTGAAAATGGTACCCATATGCTTTACACCAAATATCTCAGAAGTGATCGTAGGCATTAAGGACCAATTAGCACCATAGCAGATTCCCACCAGGACAGGACCCAAATACAGATTTCCACGGAAACCAGTGGCTATAATTACATGGCCAATAATCATTATCCCCAGAGTTGCGGTCATCAACAATGGCCTCGGCCAACCTTTTTTGTGCATGATATAATCAGATACATGCCCACCTCCAAAACGGCCAAGAAAATTCCACATACTCCATAGTGACACCAAGTTATTAATCTCAATAGTACTATAGCCAAGAGATTGCCCAATTTGGCTCATATTATTTATTGTTGCCAACCCAGAGCCCAACCCTGATATCATGGTTACAAACAACATCCAAAAATCAACCGTACACATAGCTTGCAAGAGGTTCATTTCTACTTCATGTGGCAACATGCCATCATCTGCTGAAGCCACCTGTACCTGCCCCTCATCACTTGGAAGCTCTTGGTATTCCATTTGATCCCCTGATGGAGCATGACTGGAGGATGTAATTAACTTGCCATCGTTTGTAGCAGAGACCCTCTGAATAGAGTAGGTTTGTGAAAATTTCTGTGACTCCTCCAACTGTGCTTTGATAGCAATACCAAAAGGCAATGCTAGTAGAACCATAAGGATTACAAATATGAACAACCGTCCCCAATATGGTAAGCTAACGAAATTTTGCAAAAGTATTATGAACATGAGATAGGCAACAATAATCACAGTAACCACAGAGAAACTATTCAAATGCTTCTTGTAATCACCATCGTCCACTTCATAGATCCTCGACAAAAACATAAGCAATATGCAGATAAATGCAGGCAAGCAAGCAAGCATCAAAAGGTAAGTGGTTGGGTCACCATCACAAAATGTATGATACAGTTGAATCAGGATTGCTCCACTGAGTCCAACAAATCCCTGATTAAAACAAAAAAACAAAAAAAAAATCCAATTAAATCAACAGAAACACAAAATTACAATTTCTAATTTATTTTTTGAAGAATTAAAAACACCTTCATGATGCCGATGATGGTGCCGCTATAATCAGGGAAATTGCGTAAGCCAGTAACAACGTTGGTGGTGTTCAAGAAGGTTTGACCGTTAGAACCAAGCCACGCGAAAAAGCACATAACCGGCACCGGCGGCGGGTCGATCAAACCAACGACGGAAGCCCAAATGAACATGAACCCGACGAAGCACTGAACGGCGCCCGCCGCGATCACCACCCATGGTCCTCCGAGGGACGTCCATTTAGACTTGGACGGCGAGCCGCTGCGGCTGTCGGTGTACGGAGCGACGGCGGAGTAGAGGAGGCCGGAGAGGATGCCGAAATTGGCGCCAATGTCTTTGAAGACGGAAACGGTGTCGAGGGTTGATTGGTCGTAGCCTTGCGTGGACTTGAGAACAGGGGAGTAGATGCTGAAGGTGTATGATGCACCGCAGCTCCACTGGATCCATATTGCTGCCGCCACACATGTCCAACGATTCGCAACCCACTCCATCTTCATCATCATCCCCTCCGCTTCCGATGAGCTTCAATTATTTCGGACAGGATTTTTTAATTTTGTTGACATGAATGAACTGGAAAGAAAAGCGACATTTTGTAATTATTCATGAACATGTATTATTAAAAGGGATTTGCATTTCTGATTTAACACGATGTAACGCGTAATATTTTGTGGGTTCATGTTTTTTGAAGAAAAAAATAAAAAATTATATCATGCAAAATGAATATCTATAACTTTACACAATTACTTTTCTTACAACATAATTATATAACTCTTATAAAATTTTTATTTTAAAATAGAATAGTTTATTATATCTATTTTTTTTTTCATAACTATCTTATCATAAAAATAAATGAATGGGTTCCAATACCTACGAATTTTTTTTTTACACAAAGCACAAATATTTTTTTCGTATAAAAAAGAAAAATAAACTTCACAGTTGACAGTTACACCCTCAAAGATTATCACTCTTCGTTATGATTACGTGTCAAATCTGATTTGTAAGTACAATAATTCTGAAGGATCTTTTTATTCGTCCACGACCCTCTGACACATTAAATAAATAATTAATCAAGTGTTTAAATTCATACTGTTAAATTATTATACAATTTACCGTGGTCCCCTCTCTAATGCGACTAAGGTAAGGATTCTTTAAGGGTTTATGTTTTTTCTCGAGAATAAAGTTATATTTATGAATTTTTATTTATAAATTATATTATGTCTGATTGGTTATATTTTAATTAAAAGCATATGATTGGTCAGACTTAATATAATTTGTATAAAAAAATTGTAAACGAATCTGATCGGAACCCTGATAGACAAAGGACATATCCCAGAGGAGGTTACAATTATGTCAGAAATAACAATGATAGGAATACGCGGTATGACCGTGCCGATAGACAAGAAGGAATACCAACACGGGAAAGACAACATGAACAACAGACGGCGCCAATGATCGGTCCAGTACAATATGGGCAGGCCAATAAGTATTGGGCTTAATCACACACGGTTAAAGAGTGAAGGCTTTCAGTTGGATGATCTACTTCTTGGGCTGATGATGGCTATTATGTGGAAGGTTGGTGTTGTTCCTCTTTGGCGCGATGACTCTGGCTGAGGGTACCTACAATGACACTCTGACGCTCAAGTCAGTATCAAAGCTAGGCTTATGTTATATTCTTACTCAATTAGAATATTATACCTGGGTGTGTATCATTTGTTTATATAGTAAATCGAATGACGCCTTTGGTAGGCGGTGTGTCCTCTGATTGGCTCTTTATGGGCTGCAAGCTTATCTGCTCTCAGCTGGTGCCTTTTTGGCTATACCTCTATATGTCAAGCTGCCATTGTAGAGTGGTGGCAAGCTGGAGCTGTCTTTTGCGTATTGGCTTTTGGCGCGGTGGTTCCTTCATGGGTTTCTTACTTAGCTCTGAAGTCATACCTTAGGTGGCTTAGGCGCGATGAGGCTATCGTGTCCCTGTTTCTTTATGCGTGATAGATATATCGCGCATCGCATGGGCCTTTATCTTTGGGTTTTAACCCTTTGTGGACTTATTGTATTTTATCCAGGTCAGTTGCCCCTAGCTTACAACTTTTGTATTAAAAAGTTGTGAGATATATTCATACTTTCGCGCGGTGTGCTTTTGCGAGGTTTTGGCGCGTTCAATTGTATTGCGCTTTTCATGATGAAAATACCATCATTACCTCATCGTTTAAAATGGTTGATTAGATGTTTAACTGTCAGAAGCATTAAATGTTACCGTAATTACGTGGGTGTCTTAAGAGCTAATGTGGGTGTTTTAAGTTTTAATATGTTTACCTTCTCCCCACGTGCCCCCTTTTATCTGTTTCATCCAACACGTTTTAACCTTTTTAGATTCTTTTCGATGACTTTTCATATTTGTACTGAGCTGCTTAGTTTGGAGGGAAAATCACTCTAAGCATCAATTCCTGTTGCAAGGACCTCTTCTTCAATATTCCTACTCCGATTAGTTCTTGGCGTTGACACGTCCTGCTTTCTATTCCTCTTCCGAAGTATAAAACCCAGGTATGCTTCTGCCTTTGTTTCTGTATTTTATTCTACTGTGTTCTTTTCCATTGTTGTTTCTTCTTTTCATCATGTTAGGGTATGCCTGATAATCGCAAATTCGTGAATTTTATCAGAATGGCCGAGAGGTCTGACTCCACCAGTCCTCCATCAAGGTCCTTCCCTAGGTCCAGGTCTTTAGGGACTGGGGAATGGTGGCTAACAGGCAAAGTTCTGCACCCTGGGAGAAAGTGAAACTTGATCAAAGTTTCCCATCCACACTCTGAGGGTTTGAGATAGGCTTCTCATCTCGAAAACCTAACCGCGGGATATCCAGAACTTTGTCGCAACAAAGCTCGTCCCCTTTTCCCAAAGTGTCAATTACGAGCAAGATAGCTCATCCTATATGTATATCAAGTGACTCCAGTTCTAATTTGAGAAATGGTTGTGACTCTGTAAATGCCTTAGGTTCTGAGTCTTCTTTGCCAAATGTCAGCGCGCAATTCTCCTTCTCCTATTGCGCGTAATGAGCCAAACCAAGAAAAAAGTCCTAGTCCACTTCAATTAAATGTTATTTATCCTGCCGGGTATCAATATAAGAAACGCAATTTTGACAACTTTAAGTCTTCCTTTGTTAGTTCTTATTTTGCTTCTTCAAGCTCTACTAATGCCTCCTCTTATGAATCAGATTTTATTTCACCCAAAATCAAGGAGATCATGGCTAAATGTAACGCAACTGAGAAGAAGAAAAAACAAAAGCAAGATCCCGAGGCAGCTGGAGCGAGAACTCGTGGCATTCGTGACGAGGAGACATTGGATTGGGTATCAGACATCGTGTTGGATACTGTCTCTGTGTATAATTCTCCAAGGAAATTGGAATAGTTGAAGGTCGTAATCCACCTAAATCCAAACAAAGCGCAAGATGATAACTGGGAGTTATCGGTAGTTCCCCTGAACGAGCGGGTGTACTCATCGTGCGCTGCCAATTCCTCAAAGTATTTCCTAGTGATGTATGCTTACTTCTTTTTTACGATAGGAGTGCGTCTTCACTTTTCCCCAATTGTTTGCAAATTGCAGGCGCATATTCACGATAAAATCCCATAACAGCTCCAAGGGAAAGCAAAAAAGAACACCCGCTTCACAAGAAAAGTCAGCTTCCTCAGTCGCACCCATCTCACTACACAATGAAAATTTACCTACCACTCAACATTTGTTGACACTCATTACTCAGCAAAATAAAATAATTGCCCAGCAAAACCGAGATTTGGCTTTGTTAAAAAAATTACTGGAAGCCAAAGAAAAAATTCGAGAAAAAGGAAAAGAAAAAGAATTGGAAAAAGAGAATTCTAAAAAGTGTGTTCGCCACAGTCAGTTGATTATATAAAGGAAAAAGTGTGTCATTTTAAAAGATGTAAAGTTATGTCATTTTAAGTAAGAGAAAGAGATAAATCATGGAAGAAAAAAAATTAACAAAAAAATAAAGGTGTTGGTCTCACCTCTTTGTGAGAATAAAATGACACACATTATATCATTTAAAAGGACAAATATTTTCCCTTATATAAATTAAATGGCTTTAAATCCCGGACAACATCAATATTATCGCTGCACAACTTATTTTAATTCATTGTTGCTTTCAGTCCTACCAAAAAAAAATGTGAGAATGAAAAAAAAATTCCCACTAATATAGAAATGGCAAAATTTTCATTCAAAATAAAAATAACAGACGCAAAAGGTATATAATTAACTCCATAGGAAAAAACAAAAAATACTCGTGTATAACAAACTCAACTTAATTATAGGCCCGACATGTATAAAAAAAGTTTATGGCATGTTTTTTAAATAGGTTTTTAAAAAAGTTTAGATATATTCTATTTTACTATTTGTAATAGGTCAAGTTTGACCTAATATAAGTTAACTCGTAGGCCCTTATAGGCCGGCCTAGCCCATTTATACCCTACATAGGATACAACTTATGTTCTTACATTATGCTTCCTATATATATATATATATATATATATATATATATATATATATATATATATATATATATATATATATATATATTCACTACACATAAAATCTCATCGATCAATAAACAAAGTAACAAATATAATGAACAACCCAAGCTAAAAAATAAAATAATGAAACTATATCCATTGCGCTTATATTTTCTAACTTATACCAAGCTCAAATATCATTTTCTAAGCACAATTTAAAAAAAAAATTCTAAATATCGGGAACTAAATTTCACAAACCATTTAAACAATGAAACTAATGATTCATATTTGTATTTGTTGAGATATATAGTCCCACATTGATTGTATGAGCAACTAATGTGGAGTTTATAAGGCCTTGGGCACTCCCACCCTTTGAGCTAGCTTTTGGGGTGGTGTATCCCAAGGTTCTTTACATGGTATCAGAGCCTCGGTGTCCCGGGTTCAAACCTCGCTGCCTCTCACTTTCTCTTGTGGAATTTTTTAGCACAGGTAGACTGGGCCTGTTGCATCATCCACTCTTCAAGCCCCCTCTCATGTGAGGGGGTGAGTTGAGATATATAGTCGTATAGTCCCACATTGGTTGTATGAGCAACTAATGTGGCCTTTATAAGGCTTTGGGCACTCTCACCCTTTGAGCTAGCTTTTGGAGTGGTGTATCTCAAGGTTCTTTACAGTATTCAAAGAGAAGAACACAATAATATAAAGGGGATCTTGACAATTCATGATTTTTTTTTATAAACCACATGTATTTTTCACGAAAGACAATTATGTTCGAGGCGGGTCCAGGATTAAGACTTTAAACCCCTACCAAAGATAATACTGGGGAGGATCGAACACATGTTCTCATCCTCACCTGCTTAGCTCGCATGTGCCAACTAAGCTACCATCATTTGGTTTTGAGAATTCATGATTTTACATAGGTGATGCTAAGAATTGGGTTAGTGACATTTCTCCCTAGTTATTGCAAAATCTAACCTTGCTTTAAAGAAAAAAAAATTCTCAATCTCTTCACCTTTTGGTTATACTCTTTGTACCCAAAACTCC